TTGTTTCCCCCTTCTTCACAGGCCAATTGTTTCTGCTGCCACGAGATAAGGGATTGAAAAGGGCTATATTTTGATGGTTCTGAATCTGGGACCTCAGAATTGGAGGGTAGACATTGAGGGGGAGGAGATTCATGTTCAAATTGTCCCTTTTTTCCCTTTCTCCCTCCTTCTCCTGCCTGGAAGCTGCTTCTGCCTCCCAGCTCTCCTGCTATTTAATCTCCGCGTCTCTGGTGCACTCAGGAGGTTTATGCAATTTCGTCCTCTTTGCACCTGCTGCCGAGAAGAGTCCTTCTGTCACCTCGCTGGTCTCTCGCCACGGCTCCTCCCTCCATTCTCCCACTGAAAAATACCAGCAGAGCAGAGCTGGACCCACTGCAGACGTACATCAAAGGGTGAGGCCTTGGTGAGGTTGTCCCCCCATGGTGAAGATTTTGTGCAGGAAGCTCCTAGGAGGGTCAATTACCTCAATGGGCTTGGACAGTAAATGGAGACGTGGAAATAAACTAGTTTGTAGGAACAAGACTTCATCCCAAGGAGATCAGGACTAGCAAAAGGCCAGCCCAGGACAGGCCACCAAAACAGTGTTGACGTCCAAGTTCAGCTGGAGGGAGCGACTTCTGCAATAACCCATCTTGGCTGCTTCCCCAAAAATTAATACTGGCGATATTTAGGCCGATTACACCGAGTTTCTGGGACTGTGGAGAGATGAGAGGCTGGGGCTGAGACCCACCAAACTCTGTATTATTAGGATAAGTGAATTATTTATGTTCTGGGAGCACCCAAAAGACCCAATCGGGATCAGGGCTCGTGGTGCTGGACTCCGAACAGACACAGATAAAGAGAGTCCCTGCCCTAGAGGCCTTCCATCTAAGATATCGGGTCGCACTGGAACTTGTGGGGATCAGTCACTGATGCGAAGGCCCAGAGCGAGAGTCCCTTTGCTCCTGTATACTGGTCCCATCTTGTTTAATTAGCCAGTGCTCAGGAGCAGAGGGAGGGGCTTTGCCTCCCATCCTCTGGGGATCACAGCCTGGAAGGGGCCAGCGCGGTTCATATCCAGCTCATAAGCCTCTCAGAGCTCAGGCTTGAGGAGTGAGATTCACTCAATTAATTTTGCTTTGGCAAAAAGTCCATTTTTATTGCTATTTCATGCCTTCGGTATAGATTTTCTCTGCTTGTCTCAAAGGGATAATAAAACCCGACTCGTTCTTTTTATAAGAAGTCTCACTCTCCCTCTCGCATTGGGCTGTCATGTTCCCCACCTATACATGTAAATTTAAAGGCAAAGAGTTGTCATTTAAAGACAAAAAATGACTCAGAAAGCCAATCTGTGAGCAAAACCCATCATATCCTGGCTCTCAAACTAGGGCACCCAAACTCGGTGACATCAAGGGCTGCCCTGTCAACCTTTAACTGGCCTAGAATGGAGCAGCCTGGAGCTGCCCGTCCTATTTATTAGGGTGGCGTGGCCTGGGAGACAAGTCCTAGCAGGCCACGCTCCATCTTGCTTCAAAACCGCTAAGATCAAGATGGCCGAGGGCCTGCTGGGAGCCGCACTCCCACATTACAGGTGATGGCCGCTTGGGCTGCATTCGGCTCCTTGTCCACACTTTGGCTGCCTTTGCTGTAAAAAGTTCCACCTGGATGTGCTAGGCCTGATTCCCTTCTACCTCACGCCTCGGGCCCTATTGACCACTGCTGTGCAGTGCTAACACAAAGGGGTCACACGTGCCCCCTATGCCAGGAACAGAGCTGGCTCCAAGAACAAGGAGTGTTGCGGCGTGGGCTGGGGATAGGGCATGCGTGGGCTGAAGGAGAGGGGACAGGAGCCGCCCCCAGCTATTCCATCCCCCTGCAAAACCCTATTGGGGCCACTGCAGCAGGGTTGCAATTTAAGGGCGTCCCTCAGAGTTGTCCTTGCCTGCATTAGGGGTCACAATGAATAAGGGAGGTGCAAACTGTCTCTCCTCTGCTGCTGCCAGCACATGGATGATTCCTGGTGTTGTCACTTACATAGACGGAAAGTGGGTATAGGACTGCACCATTCCGACATGGCAGTGTTTTCACACTCAGGGTAAATGACAACCCAAGGTGCAGGGCAGTGAGGAATCGGGTGTCAGCAGCTGATATGAATAAGGAGAAGACTTCAGCTGAAACAAAGTCTGTATTTCCCAGCGCATCTATGGGCCTAACCCTGCAAACACTGGTCCTGATTCTCCTGTCACTTACGCTGGCGTAAACCAGGAGTAAACGCCAATGGAGTTAATGAGGCAACATCTGTACAAAACCAGGCAAGGCCCTGACTTCAGGGTGGTGTTTTGCAGAAATGTAGCTATATCAGCGTAGCTGCATCAATGCAAACCGTTAGCACAGATATGCTGCGCTGGTTTGAAAAGGGGCCTCTCTCTGTATAGACCAGGGTAAAGTGAGAGGCAAATCAAGCCCAGCTGGTGAGGATCTGACTGTTTACGGTAGATTATAAATGTGAAAGTTTGAGAGGAATAATTTTTTTCGTTTTTTCCCCCCACCTAACCTGCCCCTGCACCTCCTTTTCCAACCCAGCCTGTCAGCTGTTCTGTCGGGTCGCTTTTCCACTTCGTTCTGTGAATGCAAAGCCTCCGCTGCGAGGCATGCAGCACCCGCAGCGAGAGGAAACCCACAGATGGGTCTGCTCCTGCAGGTGTGGCTGCAACTGACAAAAGTTTTAAAGGTGGCCTGCGCTGGAATGGGGGAAAACGATAAGAGCGAGGAAACCCGTGAGAATAAAACCCTGGTTAACTGAAACTCTTAGGGTCCGGAGGTCGGTTACTGGCATGTCTCATGCCTAGGGCTCAGTTTCACGGTGCTTTCAGGAGTTCACGTATGTGAAGCTTCAGCCTGGTTCTACCAGTTAAACGAACCCTCTAGTATCCCAAAGGTTCGGGTGTTTCCACTGACCAGCGAATGAGCAGGATTCATAGCTCACCCTCCCTTGTCTTTAACAGCCAAGCACTAGGTGGTTACAAAGATGTAATTTAACTAGGGATGGTCCGGAATGTAAAGCCTAGATCTAAGTAGGCCTGTATTTTAGAGAAGTTTGGGTATGGATCCAAACTTCATGGGTGAGCCCTATATGGAGTGGAACCAAAACCCAGATCTGAATATCCCCAGATAAGAACCTAACATTTGCAGCTCAGAAGGAGGTTTAATGCAGGAGAAAAGACTGGCTTTGCAGGGCTCTCAATGAAGTAGCATGTGAGGTCCCATCTACAAGGATAAGCCTCTAGGCTGCCTTCTTCCAGCCCGTGGCTCCCCACACTTGGGCTCTGGCACCAGTTTGTGGGGGAAATCAAAATGGACCCAGTTACTCAATCTACAGAGTAGTAGTAGAGTGGCTCAGAGACAATGGGTGGTGGGGACTTTTGGGAGAGGCAAACCATTTACCTGAGTGCAAGGTGTGTGTGTGTGTGACAGATGGGCCCCTTAAAATACATGTTTAGCAGCAGTTGCCCTGCCTAGATGAACCCAGAAACTCTTTTCTGATAGCTGTGGATTCTGAAGAGGAACACGGTGTGGATTTCCAACTATACTGGGAGATGCATCTTATGGGTGAGACATTGGACACAGGCCCCCGGCATGGGTGGTCCCTTCCTGAGACAAGGATGGTATCCGTAGTTGTTTTGTAACTAAATTCCCAATTTAGATCTATTCTACTTCTCTAAATTTCCCCATGTAGCTTTGAGCGGGTGTAGTATTCTTCCTCATTTCCTGTTCTGAACAACTCATGTCCCACCCCAGAGGAAGCTGCATTTGGTTGTTGAAGTGACCCCAGTGCAACCTGCAAAGCACTTTGCAGGCCTCCTGGACAAAAGGCAGTAGAGAAACATTAAGTCATTGTCATATCACGCAGCTGCTATTTTTAAAGCCTTGTCTTAATGTAGTTGGGGACCTGGGTCATCCTTATGTCAGTGGGAGATTCAGTGGGGTAGGAGAGAGACCTACCATAAAACAGGTCTTTTTCTCCATTTTTACCGGCTGCTTAGCATCCTTTTCTAACCCATCCCCCAACATAGCTCCAGCTGCATTTTCATCAGCCATTGGGTGCAATGGCTGAGCGATTAAGGCACGACTACAATCCTGAAGGTTTGCATTTGAGTCTCACTCGATCTCACACTGAAAGGTCACCTCCAGTTCACCCAGCTGCAAAATGGGTACCCAAACCACCAGGTTAGGGCAGTCAAAAGCAGTGGGACATGATGCGGGCCACATCGCTTCCTCCTGTCCCTTGACTGGGACAAGGGACATGCTTCGATCACATCAGCCCAATGAGCCAATGGCTCAGGGGAACTTTGATTGGTATAAACAAGGGAAGTCCAGCGGATAGGACCGGGACATCAAAACTTCTGGGTTTTAGACCCGTCTCTGCAACTGACCCATGGTGAGACCCTGGGCATAACCGCTCCTGTCCCTCTGCTTTCCAGTCTTTAAAACGGGGAAAACAACATTTTTATCCCCATTTGCAAAGTGTTTTTAGGAACAATAAACGAGAATGAAAATCCTTCCTGTTACGGTGCCCTGGGCACGGATCATTACATGACCCAAGAGCCGAATACAACTCACAGACCATCCCTTCCATCACAACAGCAAGGACGATGTCTCAGGTTCTAGCACTACATTGGTTCTGTTCAGATGTTATTGGGGGGGGGCAGAGCTGTATTATTATTATTATTATCATCATCATCCCTGGGGTGGGTAGGATCCTGCTCCTCAATATGTGCTGTCAGGGAGGCACTTTTACAGGCAGCGCCGAAGACAGGCAGCATGAGGCGGCTGCTGGGCGCTGAAGGGTCTTTACAGCTGGCTGTAGGCAGAAGCAATTGGATCTGCCTTGTGAGAGGCCCTGCACCTTTGGGGGCCCCAATGTGATCATACACCATGGCCATATAAGCCCAGCCTATCCTCCCCCATGCCCCTGGGACACTCCCCTAGCTGGAGTCCCCATCTCTGATTCAGGCTGAGTACACGGCTCCATTCTGAGCAGTCACAAGAGGCCAACTGGAGGGGCAGGTTGCTTGGCAGCCGCCACAAAGGGGGCAGGTAGGCCGCTGCAGGCTTTTGCAAAGAAGGGATTGATCGTGTCTCAGGGGCCGCTTGGTGGTCCTGTCCAGGCAGCAGGGAGCAAACACACACCCCAGCAGTTCTCCTGCTCTGACGTCAATTAAAGGCTCCGACAGGTCCGCGACGTCAGCCGAGATGTATTGCAAACAGATGGAAAGCCCTTGAAAAGTCTATTCCTCGCGGAAGGGAAATAATATACAGTGTCTCCTTCAGGCTGACACTCGGGCCGCCTGGTGCAGGGCGCTGTTTACTCGCTATGGAGAGACCTCAGGGCTCCCACTGCCTTTTCTGTCTGGGGATTTCTATGCTGTAGCCAGCGAAGAAGTGGGTTGTAGCCCACGAAAGCTTATGCTCTAATAAATTTGTTAGTCTCTAAGGTGCCACAAGTACTCCTGTTCTTTTTGCGGATACAGACTAACACGGCTGCTACTCTAAAATCAGGTTTGCGGCTGCAAAATCTGCTGCAGCCGAAGAGGTAGACGGGGGGGTGCCAGGGCTCCCAGGCCGGGGGTCCGCAAACTTTATTGTGAAATGCAAAGTTCTGCCTCGGTGCTGGAGGGTTTGGTCCAGGGTCTCCCTGCGCTGGCCCTGGCTTGGGAACTGCAGCAGGAGGGAAAGAGCTGATCAGTTGCAGGGCTTGGCTTGTCCCTCTCCCGGGAGCCAGGCACGGGCAGATGCCGGGCTAGGCTCGTGGGGGTGGGTGGGTGGAAGGGAGAGAAGCGCAGCTCGAGGGCTCCCCGGGAAGTTGGCAGCAGGGCCCGGGCTGGGGGGGGGAATCGCGGGGGGCTCGGAGCACAAACCCCGGGCGCCCAGGGGCTGGGCTGCGGCCGGCCGGCCCGCTGCGACGTGGAGTCAATCGCAGCCAGGGGCTCTCGCCGCCCCGCGGGGCCCCGGATCGGTCTCCGGAGCCGGGCAGCGGAGGCACGCAGGGGCGCCGCCGGAGCCCGAGTAGCTGTCCCCGGCCCGACCCCGCTGGCTGCTCCCCGGCGCCTTGTCCGCCAGCCCGGCCCGGAGCCCCAGGGCACGCTCGGGCCTCGCCTCCCCGGGGAGCTGCCGCTGTCGCAGCCCCGTGCGCTCCGCTCCGCTCCCCCCGCAGCCGGGCGAGGCTCCGCCGCTCTTACCTCGCTCCGCCGCCGCTCACCGCAGGCGCCAAGCGGGGCAGCCGGGCCAGGGACGCGGGGCGCGGAAGCTCCTCCGGTGCCCATCCATGGGAGCGCCCCCCGCGGCCGGATTTCCTCCCCGCCTCGCTGCGCTCCCCCGGCGAGTCCCGCGGGCCGGTCAAGGACTGCGCCCCCCGGGCTTGGCCCCGCTCCGCCTGCAGCCGAGCGCGCTCCGGCGCGGGTGTGGATGGCAGCCCGATCCCACTTCGCACAGGAAGGGCGAGCGGGCGAGGAGGGGGGGAGAAGAAAGTTAGAGGCATGGCTGGATGCTGTCGGAAGTGCACGCTCATGTTTCCCTCCGGGGAAATCCAGGTGTTCTGCCCGGGCCGACAGCCCCATCTGCCGGCCGGCCGGCCGGCTCGCCCACGTGGCCCTGCCCCTTGGGGTTGCAAAGCTGCCCCGCCGTGGGATGGGCCTGGCGGGTCGAACCTCCCTCCCCGCCGCGGCCATGCCAGCCCGCTGGGGGTACCCCGCACGCAGCCTCCCGCAGGGCGCTTGTAGCAACGAGCGATCGACTCCAGAGGGGGTTGACTCAGGAAAGCCAAACTTCTAGCTGGAGCCAGGGCACTGAGGCGCCTGGCTGAATGGAGGTGGCTTATTCCAGCTGGTTGGGAAGCTGCCTCTCAGTGGCAGTTTTGCTGTTCGAATTTAATAGGGCTTTCAGAGCCCAACCTAGGGGCAGGAGGGATGTATTTGGGGCTGAAAGCTCATGTATGAGCCCATGAACCTCTCCTCAGATGGAAGGGCCCTGAGAGGTGATAAACCCACAGCCAGGTGGGGTCACCATGCTGCACACTCTGGCCACTTGGAGGGGATTTCATAGACTCCGGCTCCAATCCTCCATCCGAAAGAATCGTGAAGTGAAGGAGGATCTCCGTTAGCAGGGCAGGGGCCTAGGAAATCCAGGCCGATAAAGAACAGGCTTCCGTCGGAGCATCTACACTTTAGCTTGAGTCCCAGAATTATCAACTCACAACCAAGTGGCAAGACAAAATGGTGTTTATTTAGGTTGGCCTGGCAACTTGACCGTTGTGTATCTTTGCACAGGAGTCAGCTTGAAGGAAATGGGGTGCGGTGGGGAGGCAGGGCAGCGGAAGCATATTAAGTGAAGAAAATTGGCTGTAGCCAGCTTGTCGCCCACTTGTCTAATGCTTTTTTTTGTATTTTCCTTACCACGGGGTACTTTGTTAGCCTCATAAGATCTTCGTTTCGTGTCTGCAGCTAGTTAACTGTTTGCATGCCAGAGTGGGTGTAGCAATGGTCACTGAAAGGACCTTATTTCTTTACATTAAGCCACACTGCTGTTAGGTCCAACATCTATTCTCTGTTAGGACTTCTCTGTTAACACCCCATGTTTGCATTAACCCTAATGGTAATTCCAGTAGGCCTCCGCAGACCGCTTTCTGCTGCAGGGATGGTGCGTCTCTGTTTGTCGAGCACAACACCCTGAGCCTCAGTCTTAACTGGCCTTTTGGTGCTACAGTAACATCAAGGTTTGATAATAATCGTAATTGAGACTCCGAAGGAATTAATAGGCCTTTGGGTGCTATCCCTTCTCCCCAGCCACGCTGCTACTTGTTGTGCTTTTACAATCACGTTTTCCCATTTAAACAAATATTTTCCTCTCCCACGTTTTTGCAAAAGCCCCAGACAAAAAGAGGGCAAAGTGCCTATGCTCAGAGAGTGCTGTGAAATGTGTAGAGGAAACAAAGTGAAACACAGAGGCTGTTTTTCCTCTATTTTCTTAGCGACAGCCATTGTAGCCTTGGCTAGTAGCGATGATGAGGGGAAACCATTTGTAGACAGATGTATGATTTTTAAATTGATGATTTCCCTTTAATCACAGAGACGGCCATCATCTAATCCCCCCGTGCCTGCCAAGGCAAGTAATAGTGAGCAAGTGGTGTAGGGGTCCTGCAGGCCGAGGCATTTGGCATGGATGACTCACCTGTGCTCTCTGGCACTAGCCTGACAAGGAGAGGTTGTTTCTTTGGTTTGAGTTTTAACAGATCTTAGCAGCTGTGTGCATTTTGGGTTCAGCACGTCCCTTTTGAAACCAGCCAGACATGCAGATGGAGGCCAATAGCTCTGCTGCTTCCCACTGCAAAAACCAAACAACAGCGAAAGTGTTAACAGGGCTTCTGCCCTATTCTACGCTGCAGAATAGCAATCCCAGGCAGAAGGGGTCTCCAAACAGACAACACAAGCCATTGTTTCTTAAACTCTTGGGATGCTAATTGAGGTCAGCCTGTCGTTTGACTCCAATCACTATTTAGACTGGTCTAATCCCAGGCTTTTAATAGGAACCTAGCAATTGCCATACAGGGATCCATCTAGTATAGTATCCTCTCTATGACAGTAGCCCAGAACGAGTTATGGGATATTCTGCCCCCAGGGAAATTTTTCTGCCAGCCCCCAATAGTTAGAGCTTGGCTTATGCCTCGGGGCTTATATCTTTTCCAAAGCTCTTGTTTATATTTCCGGTGTTTACTGTTATAACTCTGGATAGTCTTGTTATCCATACACAGGTCCAATCCTTTTTTGAATCCTACTTAGCTCTTGGCCTCAGTGATACCACGTGGCAATGAGTTCCACTGGCTACTTGTGGGTTGCATGAAAAAGTATTTCCTTTGATCAATGTAAAATTTCCCACCTCTCAATTTCCTCAAATGGCTCCTTGCATATATACCTTACATTTACATCACCCCTGTTAGCCCCAAAGATCCAAGAATTCTTTTTTTAACACCAGGCACGTGATCTTGCAAACCATTTTGTACTCAAGTAGTTCCGTAGAAGTCAATGGGCTTACTTGGGTGAAAAAGTATTATTCCTTTGTATAAGGGTTTCCAAGCTCTGCCCTATATGTATTCCAGAAACAAATGTAACCCTTCTGCCCATCTAAGTTGGCAGCAACAAGGGCCGGGTTCTGTATCTAGGGGTTCCGTTTCAATAACACAATGCAAAACTGGCTCGAGCCCCCACCCAGTGACCTGGGACAATTACATACCACCCCCCTGGGTACCTCTAAGAGGCAATACTTCCCCTCTCGCAAGCACGGAGTCTGAGTGTAGCAGAAAATGTTTAATAACATGAGGTAAACGACATCAGCATAAGATTGGAAAAACACCACAAACAGGATTCATAACACAAACCATGAGCAAAACCCACCCCAGCAAATTGGGCTGTGTCCTTTCCCTTTGGTTCTTGAATCCAGCAACCCAAAAATCATCCAGAGTCCCCAAAGTCCAACATCCCCAAAGTCTCTTGGGTCCAGCAACCACCCAAAGTCCCAAAAGTCCAACAACCCCCAAAGTCTCTGTCCCTGGTCAGTGCAGCCCCAGAGTAAAAGGGGGGGGCACGCAGGGTGATAAGGGGCACCTTACGTGATCCGAGGCTGGCCAGCCGTCTGTTTCTCCGTGGGGGTTCCGCCGCAGCCTTTACCACGAGCCAGTCCACTTTCCTGCCATCCCACGAACTGCTCCGCTCTACAAGCCGCTCCGCTTGTCTCCGTTCACCGACCTGTGAGCCGTTCCAGCCGTCCCCGCAAACAGCTCCGCTCGCCGTTCCTTGGGCCACTCCAACCGGCCCCGCAAGGCTCCACGCCGCTCGCTGCTCCTCCAGTCGTCCCCACAAATTGCTCTGCCAGCTGCTGAGCAATATAGCTTCAGGCTCCCCCACTAGTTAACACAGCCTCAGTGATCTCACCTCTTAATAACATCAGCTCTTTTGTGATTTCAGCTCTTAGCGATTTCAGCTCTCAAGTAGGGGAGCCCCAGTTGGTGCACCATTGGCCCAAAGTGAATTCAGCTCAGCAGCCTG